ACAAAGGCCTTTTTCTATGTTTAGAGTGGTGTAACCAAGATTCGCATAGGGATCACCAGTATTCTGGCATGGATCTATTTAAATTCATAATCATAACCACTACATTCGCATTACTGTATTTCACACAGCACAAGCTGTGTGTCCAATAAGCTTCATTTTTTTTCCTAGTACTTCTGAGCAGGAGGCAACATGAAACCCAGTTCACTGCAGTACTTATGTATGCAACTGCCTGTAGAAATCAGCTACCTAACTTTGTTTATGCGCCTAGGAAAACCAGGGTGCTCTTTTACTATAACAAATTTAACAAAATCCATCTGGACCTCAAGCTGTGCTCATCATTCCTGTACGTGATAAAATAGTTTGTCCGTCTTGGGGAATTTTGCTGACAGCTTACTGAAACCAGTTACTGCCTAATCCATAAATGAGACAGAACTTCTTTCATCCACATGTGTTTTCTCTTAGGATCTGGGTGGTTGAAAGATCATCACCGCAGAAAGTTTAGACGTATTGCTGTGATAATGGAATCCACTAGCAAAGCAAAGCATAAAAACATAATGTAACTATTGTTGTCATCTATCTGTACTGACAGATATAAATAAGGCCACCGGCACTGTATTTTTTAACTACATCTCAAAGCCGCACCAAAGTCATAACTAAAAAGTGAAGTGCCTACCTCAGATTTTTAAGTGGTCAGTTCCCACAGCTAGTCATAGAAGAATAGAGGAAATTTTAAGATAAAAAAGAAATCAGAAATCACAACTCAAATAATCTTCTCCTTTAGGTTACCATTTATTATTTACCGTAGATTTTTCCACTAATCATCTAAATTATTTTAAGAGTATTAATCCTTATTGGTATGAAATAATCTTCCATAAATAAAGCATATTCTTTGAAATGAATTTTACCATAAATCAACATCCTTTGTTCTTTTTACATTTAATTTGAAATGTTGCTGTTGGCCCTAGGATTAGATAGGCCAATGATACTCTCACGTGCAGAATCTTGGTCCTTTTCTGTGTGCAAAATTTTCACAGTTCTGAGCTTGGTTAAGGGCAGTTTACATGGGATTAAGAATGTTGAAGTGTTGCCACACTGTCCAACTTTACATAGCTTTGTTAGGAGCCTACCATAGAAAATTCATTATCCTCCTGTACAAACTTTGCACTAAGAAGAGAGAGGCTCCTCCAGAAATCTGTTTAATTGCATTCCTAATCCACATTTTCTCCTGTAGCAGACTGATTACATAGTCATCCAAGGACATCTAACATCCCACTTCTGCACAAACCTAATCCTGTCAGTCTCATGATATTCTGATTATAACCTCCCCTCTGGGGCTTCTGGTTGTCTCCCATATAAAAACAACTTGGATATGAAAATTGTACAGTCCTAATATAATTTTTTGTGCCTGTTTCAGCTTTTATTGACAAAGGGCCCAAACACTCTCTCATTGAGGTTGATACTAAACCAGGTTGGCTTTGGCATTATACAGAATGAGCTCAGACCCAGTGATGAACACAGACATTGACCATTACTGAGAACATCATAACCTGGAAATCAGGATGAGAGTACCATCATTGTCATCATGATTAGGACCACTCTAATAGAGTAATTAGGAAAGTGAGAAACTAGCCATGTACATACAAAACTTCCTTGGTCTTCAGCAGAGCCTGAATGCTACCACTTCAGTATCCTGACCACCTTCTGTGTGACTTCCCAGAGGTATTTCCCTCTCCCATGTATAACATGTATTTCTCTCTGAAACAGTGGAGACCATCACCTTTTCATACTTGTTTAACAAAGCACACTCAACAGACTTACACCTCCTAGGATATTAAGTTGAAATTAAGCAATATGCTTACTATACCTTAGCTGTAAACAACAAAGAATGTAAGTTTTCCAATGGAATAATCTAACCTAAATTAACTGCAGTTATTAAGACAAAGTTTCAAAGACTTAAATTACAACATGAAATGTGATTACTTACTGAACATTTTTTAAAAGTACAAAGTAAAAGTAAAAAGCATCCACCTTTTTCAGAGTACATGTTTTGGATTTGCTTACATGTCTGCACACACACAAACATGTACATACCAAATGCACTAAAATGTATACAGGGCCTCAAAAAGACAGCTTTATTTCTCAGGTGTCTAACACAGTAGAAATATGTGAGTCTTTAAGTAGAATAAAGTACCCATAGGTATAAGAAGATAATATTCACAGCACACTTGAAATTTTACTCAAATTAGGTTTGAATTGGCTTTTGCCTTGAATGAATAAAGATGAATGTGCCATTTGGGTGTTTGCTACTATATTCATTATCTGGCTTCTGCCACAATAATAAGATAAAATTTCTTGTTCCTCTCAAAACCTTGAAAGAATAATTTCTAAGTACTAAAGGACTACAGACCAAATTAATGCAAATAATCTGTTATGTGCATTTGACAAATCATTTTTTCCAACATATACACCGTGAGTAATTTGCTGCCTTCTGGTTTCAACATGCCAACATTTTTCACAGTATATAATGTTAGAAAAGAGAAAGTATTAAGAATTTTTAAAAGCACAGTCAGAACTGCAACAGGCTAATAAAGTGAGGCATAGCTGCACTATAAATGTGTAATAACAAATTGCCTTAAAGATTAACATCCACTATGAAAGGATAAAATAGCTCATTTTTACCACTACTTTGCTCTTTGTTTTTCTAGTGCTCAGAATGCTAGACGTATTTGTGGCAGAAAGTAGAAATATTTCATAGAGAAGAAAGCTTTTAGAAGTAGGAACCTTTCCTTATCCTTATAGGCTTTACCGAAAAATATATGGATAGAGAAAATCATGTTCTCTCAGGCAGTAGAGAAGTTTATGGTGACAAACATTGAACTTCTGTGTATGTGAAAGCAAACAGAAGAATTCTTGCTTTCACTTTACAGATACAACATAAGAAAGATGGTATCAATCTCGGGGCAATAATTTTTCACATAGAAACATTTTGCAGCTGAAACATTGCTATGAACAGATATTTAATCAAAGAATGACATAATTTTAAACTACTGGCATTAAAGTAGAAGATCTAAAGCAGACTGGTAGAAGTAGAAATTTTGTTAAACCAGCCTTAGATGTCACTTTACGAAGGCATGACTGTTCTGGACATGGAATAATTGCCTTTCCCCCAAATGAAGTATATTTAAACATAGCAAAGGAGAAGAGGAGAATAAGCTGTTGAGTGACCATGAGATCTTGGGGAATTATAATGAAAAGAAAGCTTTATAAAAACTTCATCCCTTTTGTCTACCATTCCTGAGCAGACAAAGTACTAGTATGCAACTGCTATCTTCTAAATAGTAAATAACTGCTTCGCTTGAAGCTTTTTTGTACAAACAGAATTCCTTGCAATAGTGGTGATGCATAAAGGAACGTGGTAACTACTTTTTAATTAAAAAACTACCATGGGTAAATTAGAAAACCAGGAAATATTTCAGTTCTTTTACTAAATTATAAACAAAACCCAATAACCATAGGTATTTACATGAAGCTGGCTAAGATCTTAATTCCACTGATTGAAGCGGTGAACACTGGTAGATTGACATTAAGAATGTCATCCTTATGACAAGAAAAACATCTACTTTCTGAAAAACAAGATGTAATTGTCTCTTTTGCAGTATTAAATGTCCTTCAGAAAGCAGAATTTCAACTTCAGAAAATGTTGAGAGTGGTCAAATTCTTCTAGAATCACACCACAATTGTCTAATTTATATGTTAATAGCAAACTTCACAGAGAAAGCATTCAAATAAATTAAATTTCAGAAGCAGAGAAAAAATATGCATTTTGCATTGTGATGTCCAAGGCAAACACAAGTATATCTTAATTTTTGTGTCAAATGAGGCAACTAAAGTGCCATCAGCAACATCTTCTTATAAAGAGATTTTTACAATAGTTCTAGTTTCAAGACAAAGATTTCTATTAGCCTGAACAGACTTAAGAAAAAATACGTCTAATAGAAAGATGAAAGTGTAATTTAAATACGAATGGACTCAAGAACCAAAATTTCATTATCGTAGTCTGATACTTTTAATCCATCCTAGATTATTGACTTAACACATTCTAGATATACAGTTGCTCAGTAAATAGGAAAAACCCATTAATCAAGCAAATAATAAATCAAACAAGTATTAAACCCAACAGAGCAATATCTGAAACTCTTCATTAAGAACTACACTTTATATAGTCCTACATGTGAATGGTTTTTTTTTTAACTACCCCAATAAAGTATGCATTGCTAATACACTTTCCATTTAAATACATATTGGTGTTTAAAACAGATTCGTTTGTCATGGCCAGTAAGAAACTGCTTTCTCAAAATATGTTTTCAGCTTCAGTCTGAAAGCAATGTAATTCAGAAATTAAGAATTCTGCTGAGTGCTTTCCTTTCCTAAAACTAAATCAAAAACTGACCATCTAAAAGAAACAACTAGATTAAGGTAATTTCTTCTCCCTTTCAAAAAACATTCAAATAGAATTAGGCACTCAAAACAGAATGCATGGGAATGGAAAGAGTTTATAGCAAATGAAGTTATAAATCATGCCTTGTCCCCACATATTTTGCTAATAATTTGAAATTATTCATTTAGATGTGGAACTGAGTATGCAAGGAAAACATATAAATAACCAGTATACTAACCTCATGGTGTGCCAACTGTCTCTTATTGTGCAAAGGACAGTAGAATCAACAATAAAGTGAAAGGATGCTTTAAAATTAATTAAAAATTGAACTAAATTTAATTGGGAATGTTCTCTGCTCTCACTCTTTACTCCAAAGAAATGTGATCCAAATACCAAATCTTAACACATCGTTTTCCTATATTACAAAAATAGCTAAAAAAAAAGAAAAAGCAAGTCTTTTAAGACTGTTGCAAGTAACTTAGTTTTTTCTGCAAAAACTTGTATTTTTTGAACTGACAAATAAAAAGCTTTTACATCTGAGAACATTAACTTTTAAACCTACCTCGACTGCATATCTTGGTGCGTTTTGGACTGGCTGACTTCAGCTGGAGATGAAGGGACTTGCTGTTGTAGCTCCACCAAAGACTGGTAGTACTGTTGCTGATGGTGTTGCTGCTGTTTGTACCGAGACAAACTGAAAAACAGCCCTAAAATGGCTTTCAGATTTCCATTCCTTATTTCTATTTAAAAAAGAAGAAAGAGAAGTGAAAACACTGTGTTTTTTCGACTTTGGTTTTGTAACAGTTTTATAGTAAAACATCTCTGTACATATCTATAACTGTACATGTTTATGCCTTATATCTTTTAATTTATCTCAAATATCAGGCAAATTTTAGGTATCACTGTTAGTTTATTGTTATAATGTTTGCTTATTTATGTGTCAGTGTTGCAACAAACACATATCTCCATAATGTCCTCATGATGGGTCACATGTCCTTGGTCAAAAAAAGTACACCAAACCATAAATAATATACATAATCTGAAATTAATTCTCCTGTCTCAATACAGTACAAATAGTCTTGGTAAGCAGAGGGCCATTCAGAAAAATCTGAATTCTTTCTGGCCTTAGGTACACATGCCTTTCCATTATTATTCTAGTTTTTTTGGCAAATTCTGTGCATAGTGGGAGTCAACAGTGACATCTAAAAAGATTGGAAAGAGGAGATGGTAAGAGCATAGATGGGCACATATCCATTCACAAGAATTTTCAAGAACATGAGAGAACATTAATGGAAAATGCCTATTAAAGAGGCGGACATAAGGCTCATGATTACAACTTTGAACTTTCCAACTATATGATTTTGTAGCTTTCTATTTTACATTACTATTACTGATTAATCAAGACTTCAAAACTACACCTTTCCCATGAGGATAAAAGAAATACCCATATGAAGTTCTGGTGAGGCACAGCAGCATCCTCATGTTTCCCATTCCTTCCTTAGTCTTTCCCCAGCCTGATGTGAAGGTTTTCAAAGGATAATGTTATTCTTCGCTCATAAAGGATCTCTGCAAAATGTTTTCATTAGGCCTACAGCCTTATAGCCTGACATGCAACACTGCAACATTTCTGCCCTCCCTGCAAATCTAAATACTGAGCTGTATGTGCTACACAGCCTTTCAAAGATAATTTTAAAGCAGAATTTATATACAATAACTGTCATATTCATGTCCTTCAAACCACAGTAATTTTCTTTCAATAGGATTAAGTGAAATGCAGTAATAGGTAAGCAAACACTAGAGCCCTTATGCTCTCAACCCATTCTTCAAAAGCAAACAAAATCCTGGACACTGGAATATAATTTGGAAAACAGAAATTTGTTCTCAGTATCCATACATTCTTATCTTCCCTATGAAGATGCTGCAGGATCTTTGATTCCCCAGGAGACTGCCAGAGATACATAGAGGAACTTTCTCAGAATTAGAAAGCTTTTTAAGCAACAATGACTTTTGCAGTCATGTTGGTTTCAAGAAAGATCATTACGTAGGAACACAGAAAACTTAAAATTATCTTTAAAAAATCCCCAACAGAAACAGCTATCCATCTTTAAGCTGCTCTGATTACAAAAGTTTTTCTGTACAGGATATCGATGTCTTTATTCTTATGATTTTGCATCTTAATGCTCAAAAAAGAACCCTTTGTATGTTAAATCCCACTAATAATTTTTATCTCAAACTTTTGCTCCTTTTATGTTAAACTATATTTTTATTACTATTTCTAAAGAAGAATGTTACCAGGTTTGAATTTCTTTTTCTTTCCTACTTCTAAACTAGTTAAAGTTGAAAGATTTTTCTTAAACATAAAACATCCATAAATATGGATTAGTAATATTAGTACATAATATATTAATTATATAATATCTAGTACATAATATATTAATTAATAAATTAACACTTGCAGAGAAGAGGAGGGGAGTGTTTTTCTTTGCAGCAACTGACTTATTATTTATCACTTGGGTTCTCCAGTAGAGATTCTGCAGTCAAGATTTGAAAATTACTTTTGTTCTAGACCTCCTTGCTTAAGTGTCAAAATGAGGTGGGAAACTGGTTGTGAAATCTTCAGTACTTGTTAAGATCATGGTTTACTGTTCCAGAAACTGCTTGGTCATTAATAAATGACCCAGTAGAAACAAGACATATTTAACAAAGCCTGTTACAAGAAACACTTACGGTTTCTAAACTTAATTGATTTTAAACATAAATGTGCTGACAAAACATTATGAGGGTAAATTTACAATTTCATGATAAAAAAGTCTGTTTTTCTCAATTTGTTTTCCTCAATAGAAATTGTAATATTCAGGACTGTACATGCTAAAAAATGGTATATTTAAGCAAATCACGCTTCTGTTGATACTTTGAACTAATATGATTACAAACGTATTAGCAGATTTATACTAGATTCAAGACAAACTGCAAAACAGCAAAACTAGTTTTAATCTTACTCCAGAACTCAAGGTCTGCCTTATTAAAATTCTCTTTTAAAGATTAATGAAAGTTTTAAAAACAGTCTGTGCATTTAACGCTATGTAGTACTATTGCTTTTAGTAGTATTTGAACTTAATGCTACACAACTGAAACCTCTATCCTATCAAAAATCATTTTCCAGAGAAAAACAAATGTATGAGTAAAGGAATGTATTAAAGAATGAGCTCAGATTTTGATTTAACAAAGTACACAAAACAGTGTCAAGCGCCATGTCATGGTTTTAAACAATGCAAAGTATTCTCATGAAATAAATTCATGCTATTCACATATTTGATTGTTATTTTGTATACAATCGAAAATAGGCAGCACTATAAAAGTCTAGTTCTAAACAGCTTTGAGATGAACAGTGACATGGAAATGTCCAGTGTTCTCATGCATCAATATATCTACAGCATATACAGAGGTCTTTTAAATCAGATAAGGAACTTTCCATAAGTAGACAAAGTGAGTGCATATCGTGGCTAGGTTACGCTTCTACTAAGTTACTAGAAAGGTGGACATGGTGAAAGATAACAATTCTGAGTTAATTTTAAAATAAATCAGCTATTAGTATTCATTTTTTTTCCTCCGGATATCTTCTAAAATTCAAGTGAAATTATAATCCTTGGAAATGTGTATTTTTACTTCTAGCTTTTAGCTATGCTACAAGGGAAATAAAAATATTGGGTTGCATCTTGTTAATACAAATTGCCTTCAGCTGCCATGGAAGTTAGAGGGATTTTGAAGGTGTACAGCACCTTGCAGAACTGTATAATTAGTTACAGGACAAACATTTGTATACATTTTGTTAATTTCCAAGATAGAGTACTCACCTGACTTAATTTTACATTAATAAAGCAAATATGACATATTAATGAAGACAATTGGTATTTCAATGGTTTGATTTAATATATTTATTAACTTAGTTGTACTGTATTAGGCAATGACTTAGGGTGACAAATACAGGAAAAAGAACTAGAATAAAAGCAGGAAGAGCATTCATTTTTTCACTTAATACATGGCATCAAAGGAATATAGTAATTTTTTACTATAATAATAATTTTCTAACCTATCTAATATTGTGGAGGTAGCATGAAAAGATTAATCTATTGAAAAAAATATTATTTTGAAACATCTCAAGCTTCATAAATTTCTTGGTTCATTATATCTGATCTACATTTATATGCTGTTCGAAACAGCTAGAGTTTGGTATTTGGGTGCAATAATTTGCATTAAGAAAATTCATTTTCAGAAGAATATCCTATTATTTGTTCTGGTGGTCTGTTTCTCTTACCTTCTGCAGAAAGGCCTTGGACATTTACGCCTCTGGCTGCCAGAAAGCTGAGGCACACATCAACATTCTCAATCTGCAATATGAACAGAAATAACAAGCAGCATAAGACTAGTTGACAAAATATAGAAATGCAGAGGGGAGAAAAAAAAAAGAAAGAGCTCAGGAATGAATACTTTACATTCATTGCATACTGCGGCTCTTTACCAAAGTTTAACAAGAATGATTACTGCTAATTGGGGAACTGATATAAAGCGTTCATTGTCTGCTCTGGCGCTTAAAAACAATTCATAAATGCCTGCTACAGAATGGCATGCTGGCAAATCAGCAACCCACCCACTTAACATAAAACTGGATTATTTGCTACAAACAAGTTCCAATGAAAGCATCCATAGAGTATTAGACACTGAGTATATGTCCAGAGATGCGGGTAACTGAGTTAACAGAAAACTGTAAGCAAAAGCCTCCAACAAATGCTTGGGATGATGTAGAATGCTGTGAAAATGATGTCACAGCAGTGTTTTTTCCTCTATTTTTTTCCTTCAAATCTTATGCTAAATATTTTATATTTATTTAATGTTTATGCTTCTCTGTAGAGTGCTTGCTTAGGTAAGGACATGGTGTTGACTTCTGTTGGTGGTTTGGAAGAAATCTGCAGTTACCACAGAGAGCTTTAGATAAGAGTAGAACACGTAGCCTAAATGTATATCAAGAAAAGAATAAAACTTCTGCCTCTAAAATGAGTAATCATAGAACTAATTTGACTCCTTTTACATGTCTGTTTCTGACAGATTAGAGAGCCAGAATGTTCCAGAACATTCTCTTGAGTCACTACCCCCAGCTGGTTCCCCCAGCTCTCCCAGGATCTGTGAAGCAAATAGCTATACATGTAAAATCTTTTAATTAACAATTTTGTCTATAAATACGCTGATATGAAAACAAAAAAATATATATGTATAGAGAGCTGTCTTATGCCAAATGTCTTCAATAGACTTGATTTTAGAATATATTTTTTTATGTGGGTGAATTTTTTTCAAGGCAATTAGGATGTCAAATATAAACCAAAATGTTTAACAACATATTTTAAATACTTATTTTCATTGGAGAACATTGAATAAAAGAAATATTCAACAACAAAACATAAGCCTGCCTATATTAATAGATTAAGTCCATTCAGTTAATTCTATTTGAACGTTTACACATTTTACAATACCTCGTATCAGTTTTAAACCATCAAAACACGAAGGGTAAATTAATTCCTTGAATAAAAGCTACTTGTTCCTTGGCAGTATCTTTCCTCACCTAGGAGGAGACCATTTCATTATTGTCATCTTTCTATAGTTGTAATTCTGCCATTATTCTCAGAAAATGGTATTAGCTGTAAGGAATATAAATTTTCTTTTTACTACTGACCCTAGAAGTATATATTACAAGCTCACACAGACTCTCCTGATCCACAGGGAGTATTTGTAAACTTATAAATACCAGAAACAATTTTAGATATGTGGTTTTTAAAGAACAATAAACTCTAATCCACTAGTAAACATACCTTTTAAAAGGCTGTTCAAACACTTGTTTTCAAGGACATGATGCCATTTCTAAGGAATGATAAGTAACCTCTCTCCTAAATCAATTTAAAAAACCCAAAATCAGAAACAACTCTGCAGCTAACACTAACTAAAGTTACACCAAAGTTGGGGTTTACCACAAAGCTTTCATAAATCAGTTTGGCAGGTGTCACCAATGGGCAGAGCTGTGAATGAGGAATAACCATCTTAAAATCAATGGGGCTACTCCATCTCTATCCCAGCACAGTAACTGCAGAAACTTAGGCCTTAACTCTGTCATTTTCTTGAATGTTTATAGTTTTACACCACAAAAAAACCCTAAATAAACTAGGTCACTTTGTAAGTTGTAGAGATGTGACACAGCTAAGTCAGTTGCCAGCTGGCCGCAGCTAAAATAGGAAGATCTGCTTCTTCCTCACCTCTTCTTCCTCCCAGGTGTGGAGCCCTGCTGCTGCCACCTCTGCCGGGCTTCAGAGCTTCTCTGACCACATCGGGAGCTGGCTCCATGCAGAAAACTCACCCAGCAAAAAAGGCAAACGTATTTCAGTCACTCCCATGCGGTCAGACAAGCACAGGAGTCAGCAGAGGGGAGGGTGCATCCCAGTCTGAGTAAGGCATGGCTTGGGAGAGGAAAAGGGAGGTGGGAAGGAGGGAAAGGCAGACGGTACCACTCCTGATCTCAATGTCAAGGCACGGGGCTGGCTCAGTCCTGACCTCCAACTACACCCCTGCACCGGTCGTGAAAATAATGCACATGATGAGAATATTTCTACTCGACCTTTAAACAATGTCAACTACATAAGAAAACAATTCAAATGGAAATTTTCCTGTCCTGAAGAATTTAAAAGAAAAGAAGATTTGTTTGGATATTAGCTGTACAACTATGTGTATCTTTGAACTTTCAAATCAACCATATTGCAGAACCAACTACTTCAAAGATTAGGAACTTTGCTCTGTGACTAACTACTAGAAGACAAAAAAAAGGAGGGGAAAAAAAAAGGAAAATCAGACTGATGTCAGTAGCATCCACCTTCAAATAACTGAAACAATATTTCCTAGAACACCTCCTAGTGTAACGAAGACACTTTTCATAATGTGCATGTGTCCTCCAAAGTAGTTCAGGAAACCATAGCTGTAAAGAAAACCCAATTCATTTGAGAACATTTAAGCCCTAATGTGCTGTGAAAGTATCTCAGTATCTGTATGCAATACTGAATATTTAGTAAATAGTAAGCCTAACACATAAACTTTAACATACATCAAAAATACTCTACTGAAATGGCACCTGGTTATTTTACATGTCTACTTCTACAGCATGTGTCCTTGAAGTCACATCTCAAATTCTCAGACAAAACGAATAATTACCATTAATGCCAATGACTCAATATACTGCAGAACTACAAAGCAAATTCTGTTTTCCTTCATAGTTCACCAAGAGAACTATAACAGAAGCCCGAGGTCCAAAGTCATCCCTCTTGGCGGTGGTGCATGAAGCAACAGCAGTGCCCAACTTTCAGACAATGGACTCTGGTTGTGCTGTTATAATAAAGTCTTGTTTGGACTTGTGAATTGAGCAACTTTGGTGTGGCAACTCATGGCCACATAATACATAGAAAATGTCAGAAAATAAATCTTACAGTCAGCTTTCTGATAGTAACTTCAGTTACTATACTGTCAGGAACTGTTAGGAGATTCAATGAGACGTACATTAATACATCCTTTGGTTATTTTACTTTTCTCTCCTCTCCAGTCTAGAAAAAGTTACCCTTAAAGTTGTCCCATTTTGAAACTTTCCTTTTGTCTCTAAACATTGCTTTAATTACCTACTTCTTGCCTTGGCAAACCACAGTTATTCTTTGAACTCAAACCCTAGCAGCCCCAAACACTTTTTATTCAAACTTACTAACAGATGAGAGTGATTTTGCAATTACAAAAGTTCTAAGAGATTTCAAGCAGCTTCCACTCCTCAATATTGTTTCAATCAAGAGTGGTATGAATCCCTGAAGTCCATGTTTATATAAGTAGTTAGTGGCGAGGTTATTATACGTTGGGGTAAACTCTTCCTAGAGCTGACACTGCATATGTAGAACTCCACCTGCTTAAGTATCAAGGGCTGAAGATCTTGCAGAGTAACAACATAGACGCCAGAAAGACTTTGTATCCTACATACGCCCACAATTTTGTAGTGAATTTTGCTTCCTAAAAGGACCAGCTTAAAAACAGAGCTCATGTTCCTCATTAATGGAAATAGTATAATCAGAATTACAAAGTGTTGTAGCAGAAGATATAGTTCATTACAGTACAGAATTCAGGATATACAGACTGACTCTGAATCTTACACATCAAGACACAGAAGGCAACTCGAATTTGCAAATTTGCTTGTACAGGTAGATGTTGCCAAGGTCAGACTGTTGCTGGACAGCTCTCCATTACTGTTGATGCCCAAAGTTTTTTGTTCCAAGGTGCTTATTTTATATAAAAGGTTCAAAAGAGTGGAAGAAGTGCAGTACATTGAATAGCAGATCTGCCATATTAAAAATCTTTAAAAGTATAAATGGAATAAAGAATTAATGATATAATAACCCTTCATTGCCATGTAGATATTTGTCCACTTAGCTATTCAATTAACCACTCTGAAAGTCAATCAATACTACACAAGATTGCTTTTCAGAGATAAAAAAACTCTATCTGAAAATATAATCACTTCGTTATAAAAACTGAAGAATAACTCCAACATCATGGGTGCAGATAAACTCAGCTAAGATGATAACTTAGGAATTGAGATTTGTGGGCATCATTGGGTAGACAATGCCTCTTAAATTAAGCCTACTTAGTTATTCTTACAATATATTAAGCTTCTTTCCTACCACAGCATTATGAAAAAAGCATCTGAAATACACCATAAATGCTAGTGAACCCCAAGCCATTTCTACATCCACATTTTAAGGGGTCATAGTCCAAACAATAATGTAGAAATAAGCAGCTATATCACAACTGTGATACTATTAATACATTACATGGCATACAAAGAAGATGCATTGCAAATCTGCTGTAACACATTACAATGTGTAGCTGTGGGTAATCTGCTTTTGACTGGAAGCTATTTGGAATTTTACTGACAGAAATAAATCAGTAAAACAGACTGTGGGACTTGCATGTAGATAAACAGTAGTACTTAAAACCCAGCAGTTACCAGACTTACAGGAAGAGCTCATTTGTGGGACTGTACTCACAAGTGACTCAACATACAGAATATGTCTATTTATTATAATTATTTTTGCTGTTACTGAGATTAGCTTTCATCTATTCTGTCTGGCAGACAACACTTTCTTCACTTCCAAACATAAATTTAATTGTGGGATGCTCAGAAGACAAGTAATGATGACTAATGCAGCATTATGTTTCTCTGAATTTATAAGAAGATCTGAAAAATTACTCTCTCTCTTTTTGGGTTTATGACAATATTGTTTACAATAACATATGAACACATACACAAGTTCATTAGTTT